GCTGGCATGATCGTACGACAAGATAGCGGTGAGCTGTCATCATGCGAGATTCGATGGTTCGCCAACCACGGTCCGTAAAGAGAAAGTGCAAGTAATGGAGCCTGCGAAGCCTCTCTTGAGTTTCGATTCGCCCTTGCCAAGTCCGAGACTGGGGTTGAAAGCCATCGTGCCCTGAACAGAACGTTTGGGCGTGGGAATATAGTCCAGCTTGGCTGCTCCGATAATCATGTCGCAGTTAACGTCAACCAGCAGGTCGCCGGCTGTTGGAAGAATCCAAAACGCAATGATCTTGTTTGCGACCGAATCAAGAGCTTGTAGCCGAGCCAGTTGGGCTGACGCATCACACACGGCGCTCGTGCGATCGCGCCGCCCCCTTTGGTACGTTTCGAGATGCCTCTGCACCGTTTCGAGATCGATTTTGGTCTTTTTCGCAGCTTGCCCCAGCTTCCTGAGTTCATTTGCCAGGGTTGCGGCAGATTCCATCGCTGCATTGCCGCCGGCACCCATGTGAGGTGTCATCTTGTGGACGTTGTCGCCGACACAGGCAATACGGCCCCACGTCCATTCCTTCAGTTCAGCTTCCTCTGTTGCCGCAAGGGTAACGGACGTTCTGGACTGCCATAGGTCGCTGAATTTCAGCCCATCCTTGATGGTGAAATCCATGTATCTGTTTGCGAATTCGACGGCATCTTGATACGAGTACTTGGGAATGTTGGGTGATGTGTACGTCTTATTCATCTTCGCAAAGACGAACCAGAAGACCCTCCCATCTTTGCCGCCGATGACCATCGTCGAGAAGCCAGAGGCAAAATTAACATCCATTTCGCCTGCGTCGACGCCCCGTGTCCTTGTCGACAGCCCGAACAGGCACTGGAATTCGGCCTTCAGATCATGTCGAACGGACTCAGGTGTTGCTTGCGGCTTGTCTTGCTCCGAGAGCCTCCACATCTCTCGACGGACGAGGCTGTTGACCCCGTCACAACCAACAAGCACATCGCCCGCGACGATGGTCCCATCCTGGCAATGCACAACAACGCCGTCCGTGCCACTGTGGTCTACACGCATGATACGGCGCGACAATTGGATGGGTGACTTGTCGTGCAAGTTCTCGTACAGCACTCGCAAAACAGTTTCGCGCTCCAGGTAACTGATGGCATAATTAAACCTAGCTCACATGTCAGTAAGCACGCTGAACATCTCAAAGACTCCTACAGAAGCTTCTTGCCTTGTTTCCAGAAGACGGACTCCGTCGGAAATATGAAAAACGTTGCCATCTTGGTCAAGACACCGGGTGATCCGTACGCCTTGAGTCTCTTCAAGAATCTTGTCGTAGCATCCCAATTGGTCAAGGATACGGGAGCCGTTGGGTAGCAGTCCAATGGAGGCACCGACGCGAGGCGCAAACGTTGTCATGAGCTTCAAGCAGAATGTATTCTACGCCTGCTCTTTCCAGACAGTTCGCAAGTGTCAGGCCAGCTATGCCGCCGCCAGCAACGAGTACTCGGAACCCAGACTGAGATTTAGAAGCCATGCTGTAGTTGAAAACGAAGAAGAGGATGAAGACGATGGTTTCGCCTCAAATCAGGTCAAATTAAATACCCCTTAGCAGGAACCTTCGGTGTCGTTGCAAAGCAGGATCAATCTGTCTAAAGCCCTTCATTTCTATCGAGATCGAGTTGTATGCTCGATCGAAGATCCTCCCTTCCGTTGTTAGAAACATACCTCTCAGACATGTGTGAATCAAGGGTTTGAGACATTTCTAGGGCGGAGCTTGACACTTCATGCGATGAGCTTCCTCTTGACTGTCTCCCGTCATCGGCGCCGTGAAGAGAGGGTGGGGTGTCGCGGGCATCGGCAAAACTGACCTAATCCCGTGTCTCGGTTGTGAGACTATTCCTTGCACTTACGACGCATATCGAATGATCAAGTCTGATAGATTGCTAACACCCGGAATGAGTGCAACTGGATCGTATACTATCTGTCCTAGCATAGAAATTGGTTACGGATATGGCACCTAGTTGAACTTCAAAGTGGGTTCATGCATTTTGGCTAGCCAATACCTCAGAGAAGACATTTGAGCGCTTGTAAGACAAGCTAAGTAGCTTTTGTATACAACCAGCTCTATGAGATAGCATTAAGAGTTCTACTTGGCATTCGTTCCCCGTTGTTCTAGCTATTACTAAGGCATCTGCGAGGCAAAGGTCCTTCTTTTGAACCCGTATTGTTCACGCCGACCGGCGTCTGTAGCGAAGATATATGTGGGAACGTGGCTTTTCCGCAAGCTCTGCATTGCGATTGATCCGACAAGGCTCGCTATTGATCTTGTTGCCATGCTTGTCAGATAGCTCAAATTCGAACATGGCTATGAAATACGCCAAGACAATGGTCATTTCAGTCTTGGCAATCTTCATGCCAACTGCATTACAAGTTAGCAAACCGTTTTCGAGCGTCGTGTGCTTGATGTTCGCCTACTGCATGGGTGTAGGCCGGAACCCCATCCGATGTAGCCATGAGGGACATTCTTGCCTTCGCCTCGCTCATCCAGATGCCTCCCAGGGTCGAACTCAGTAGGATTGGGATAGACATCGGGGTTCATATGAAGCTCATCGTGAAGGTACGCTGCATAAGCATCGTGAGGGATGACTTCTCCTGAGTTACCAATTGGGATGTCCTGCCCAGAGATGTTCTTTCGAAATGAGCTTCCGGTCAATGCCAATCGAATGCTTTCATGGAAGCACAAGCCGATGTTGGGAAATTCTGATTCCCAATCGTCCAATGTGAGAGACCCAAGTACTTCGGTAGTGGGCTGGCCATGATACTTCCTGTACCTGACAGCAACAGCGTCAACTTCGTTACGGACCCGAGCCGTCCAATGGTCATTCTGGGCCAACTTGACTAATACCCAGGCGGCGTTGATGCCAGTGTTCAGCTGGCCTGCAAACAATGCCCCAATGACGAACTGCCAAGCGCAAAAGATGTAAGCCAAGGTGGTCGAATATCAGGAGGGCAGTCTCACCTACGCCAATGGTGTTGCGCATGCTTGTCCCCATGTCTAGAAGGGTTTGCATCGTATCATCCTCTCTAATCCCCGACTTCTGTCTCTTCCTAATCAGTCCATGAAGCAGCATTCCCAGCTGAATATTCCGCAGTGTTCGCCTGAGATGCATGATTGTTGGAAGCCAAGGAAACACAACCCTCATGGTTGACTTGGAGTGCTCAATAGACTCGAGGATGGTCAATGACTTCGCCCTGAGCTTAGCATCTTGTGCTATCTCTGTCGGCCCTACCATCCTAATGGTCAATTGAAAGATGATCTCGTATATTGTATCAAAAGGATCGAAAACTCCCCAGCTTGAGAGTTCAGGCAGAAGCTCCTGTAGCAGCGACTGGGCGTCGTTTGTAAGTAAATGAACGTTTTTGCGTGTTCGTTCCTTTCGCATTACTACAAGAAATGTCTTCTTGAACCACTTCACAAAGTTGTCCATGTCCTCGGACGAGGAAGGGTGACCAGTGATCAGGTCGGCAGAGCTAAACACGGTCAATATTGGACGCTGATATGACCATTTTTTATTTCTTGTGTTAGTCGGCGGCTCTCTGGCGCTTACCCTGCAGCGAGACTTAGCCCTCTAGTCTCATAGAACACCTTCCGTCCGACAGGTCCGGAAAGCCCAATAAGATGTTTGCGGCCAATGTAAAAGCTGAATGCCCCGGTAGAAGAGCTACGCAAGCCGTCTAGAAAATGGTCTTTACGGTTTGTATAAAATCGAGTTGCTCCGAGAAATGGCCAGTCGTGACCGCTCCACCAGTTGGGAGCGTGTTTTGGGAGCACAGGACGCCGTAGTACCTTGATCCAGAGGGCCACCATAGAAGCTGTCACTAACATCCAGCCTAACAAGGCCATGGTCGTGTACCGTGGGGCAATATGTCTGTGAAATGTACTGAAAATCTGTGCCGACCGTCGTCGTGTGAAAAAGAGATGATAATCCGCGAAGGAGAAGAGATTGGACTGTCTGTCGTTGTTGGTCACTCGAAAGATTTCAATCGCCAGGTCGATCTGATCCGATGGCCATATCGACCTGAATACGTATGTTCGCTAGCACAGGGGACCGCTGCTCGTAGTCGGGCCTGTCTGAGACTCGGTAGGTATTTGGCACTCACCGCCGGCTGGCGCTGCATGAATGGGACCAATGTTTTGTGCGGGACGTGCCGTGCGGGAGGTGCTGTCTGAATTCTGTCGTTTGAAGTGGAATGTGCGCTGCGTGACAGAGGCGATGTCTCAGTCTTATGTGGGACGAAGACTGACTGACTATTACGTGCCGTTGAAGTGGTGGGTTTTGCCGTGAATAATAATGAAGGTGTTGTAGATGGTCATGTATTAAACACCGCCCATGTTTTCCGCTGTTCCGGCACTTAGCCCAACAACTGTCCATCATAAGCGCTATCATCATGTTGCAGCACTTGAAGCTAGTCATAACCGACCTCAACCTATACCAAGCAGTGGCTCTTGCAGGAATCCTAGCTTTCGCCATCTCATGGAGTCTATGGGAGACCGAGTCTTATTACCCAGGATTCGAGGTCTATGGTGTAGAGAAAGAAAGTGTCAGCCTATATGATGCCAAGCAAAAGTTCATGACGGATGCACGCCGAATATTGTTTGACGGAGCAGCGAAAGTAAGCCAGAACATTGTCTGACCCCTTGAATGAACCAGGACAGCTAAGAGGGAGAAACCCAGATCAATGGAGTTTTTCAAATCGTATCAGCCAACGGACCACGACTTATACTGCCAAGCAACTACGCGGATGAACTCAAAGGTCATAAGAATTTATCGGCGCGGCGCCTGATCGCTACTGTAAGAGAACAACACTGCTGCAACAGGGAAGAGACTGACTCAAGTCGCTCACCAGGACCTCTTTTCTCATATTCCTGGGTTCGAAGCTGCGAGGGCATTAATGCATTCTGATATCATTGTCGACACCATTCGCAAGAACCTGACCAATTCTTTGGGTATTGAGATGTGTTTACTGAGCCCTCGGGCTGCAGACCATGAGAACGAGCTGGCTAACGTTAAATACAGGCCCAATTGCTACTATCCTACACAAGGAGACGGCTACAGGGATTGATCAAATGTACTTTACCACCGAGCACTCCGACGGCTGGCGGAAATACGACGAAAAGCAACACAGCATTGGCTTGGTAGGCATGCTGTCGACAAGGATCTTCCTGGGGCCAGAAATGGTCAAGAACAAGCGCTGGTTAGCCATCACAACGGACTATACCATAGTCTTGATGATAGCCGCTCGTGCATTACGTATGTGGACGCCAGTTCTACGGCCTATTGTCCACTGGTTTCTACCTGAGTGTACCGCTCTGCGTCGGGTCTCGAGAGATGCAAGGAATATAATCGACGATGAAGTCTCGCGAATAGAAGCCCACGTTGGGCAATCAGACGCACTATCGCCCTCCAAGTCTTCTATCGGGAACTCTCTTGGCTGGATGAGGGCTGCCGCAAAGGGCACCAACTTTAATCTAGGAGACGGCCAGCTTTTTCTATCATTCGCATCGTTACACACGACATCGGACCTTCTTACCAAAACTCTGGTCAATCTCTGCACCTTTCCCGAATTCCAAGACTTGCTTCGGAATGAGATTCTCGATACGCTTCGTGGACAGTCTTTTGATCCAACATGCATTTCTCAGATGCGTCTCTTGGACAGTTTCATGAAGGAGACGCAACGCCTAGCACCAGCATCGCTGTCGCTTATGAATCGACTTGTTGAAAAGAAAATAACGCTCCACGATGGCACAGTACTACCGAATGGTGCCCTTATCAGCGTTATACCAAGTCGTCTCTATGACGACGAGATTTATCCACAAGCAACAAAATTTGACGGTTACAGATTCCTCGAACTACGTGCTAGGCCTGGAGAAGAGACCCATCATCAGCTTGTACGAACGAACATACACCAAGCCGGCTTTGGATATGGTAACCACTCTTGTCCAGGAAGGTTTTTCGCATCACTCGAGATCAAGATTATCCTGATTCATCTACTTCTGCGTTTCGATTGGCGCAGAGAAGGCTCGGACAATTCTCCGACAACTATCTTTTCTGGAGCCGAAACTATGTCAAATCCTGAAATCACTGTGTATTATAAGGAGCGCTTGACTGAACTGGATCTGAAGTCAATTCTCGATCTCACTCCCGCTCCCCCAGACACTTAGATAGGCTCTGGTCATAAATCACGGCTTGACCTCCGACTTCTTGATCCAGTAGATGGCCAGTCGCTAAGTCGACATCCCGAGAGTAGTGTTTTGAGATGCGACGCAGGTCAGCTACAATGGTATATTCTTTTCCATACATTCCAATGAACAGGGTGGTCGTCGATAGAAAAATACGTGACATGGCTGTTACATTGGAACGTCTTCCACTGACGAACATGTAATGATATCAGGAGGATTTTCATTACACTGTTGCAGTCCAGCTACACGATCTGCATCATAGTTACCAACGATATGGCCAAGAAGTCGAGAAGAACAACAAACTTCAAGCAATTCAGCCCGTGAGACTCAGTGGTGATCATGACGCAACCCTGTGTTCAGTGATGGAATCAAATTAAGTGGTTTTTAAGGCCCTAAACGCGTCAACCCTGGGAGTGTCTGTTCAAGTCACTTATGGAGCCTTGCGGTGGCTGCCCAATCCGCATACGTACCCCGTGACAATTCAAGCCCCAGAAAAGCGGTAAGAAATCTCTGGGTCCGGAATATCCGACGACGAAGCGATTCCCAGTCAGCGCCGCAGTAGCTAGTCTTCTGGGCTGTCATCTGTATCTGATGCGCTGTGTAGAGTCTTGGACGACCCACAGAGCCAAGGGTAGCTTCTTTCAAGCAAGGATGGGGCTACTACCCCTGCGGTAATGTTTTGATGGGCTAGACATACACGGGTTGACCCGTGTCTCAGACTGGCATGTAGAGGGCGCTGACCAGCCACTTGACACGTTTAGATAAGGCAGCACATCAGAAACAGTACTGATTCGGAGTGGGTCGGGAAACATGGCCTCACCTGCGTAATATAATCCACGTCAGGGATTCGACAAGCAACCGATTCAAATGTCCTGCAGTGGGTTTCTAACCCGCCATGTAGCGGTCACAAACTTCACGTCGCACATCGGCCGATACTCGGGCAAGTTACATTCGTACACAGTGATTCATCCATGTGGCGGTCAGAAATTCCACGTCGCACATCGGCCGCTACTCGGCCAGCTCGCCGTGATAATCCATGTTCGCGGCTCGGGGTTTCGAAAACACATCGATTACCAGCGGGCACTCAAAAATCCAGAACCGGGTTTTAGGCCGAAATGATGAAACCGAGAGACAACTTATGGAGAGGAGGAAGTGGTACGAGTGGCCGAGTATATGCTGCAAGTGTTCCTCACATGAGACACTGCTGACACGATATTGTAGTACCATGAAAGTGTCTACGTTCGTGAGTGAATGAAGGGCAACCAAAGGGTTCTCAGTCTGTGGCGAAACAATTGATGTCTCCCCCTTTTTTTATGCGTCATTTTCATTGCTCGCGTCGAACATCCCATCCCTCTTGTTGTCTTTCAGCTTTACTTCGATCTTGTCTCCAATCTCATTGCGGTTGTGATTGCAATTTGATCCCTGCTGTAGGATCTTTGGCGCGGCGTACACACGAGGTTCCCTCTCCGGAGTTTTTCTATCGCAATTGTGTCTCGCGTCAACGGTTGGATTGAATTAGAGGCAAGAGCCGTGGTTGAGCCGGTATCGCCAGACTCCTACAAGAAAAAGAGCCCCAAGGAAATGCGCAGCAAGACAGCTCGTTCACTGTGCTGCTAATCATTCTCTGACGGCCAGAGCTGGCTGTGGCGTGTCAGTTGAATTTGTTAACGACGCGTAGCTCATTATTCGTTGTTTGAGCAATATACCAGCATGTACGTTAATCGTCTAAATGGACTGCTCTGCCCTGACACCTGGGATTATATTATGTATAGCCAAACTATGTAAACGTTCTCAAATTCCGCTCATTGCGGATGCGCAAGTATTGATCGAAAACCATTAGTTGTCACATAGGCATTACGTTGAATCATTCAAGACATAGTGTCACGATTAAACTTTTCATGCAGAGCAAATATCGAAGGACGTAACACATTCATTACTTTCACTTTTGGATTGATGCTTTCCAAGCTGCAGTAATAAGTTCACGATGCATTTGGAAGAATCGTTCCACCAAAAAAGAAACAACCTCGTGCAACTCAAACCCAGTCCTAAACATCTGCCGTACGTAGACTTAGGAACCAGCGCCCGCAATTTGACACGTAAAGCCATCTTTCTATACGTGTTTGACAAGATTCATGATGTCAACTTCTTCCTGTCGACGTCTGAATGAGATTTTGAAATCAGGATTTGCCATAATCTCGGACCCATGCTGAAATGTCGGGGCTGTGTCGCTGTCACAATCCTGCTGCCAGTCGTAGCGTAGAAGAAGGAAGCACAGCGCAACCTTTAGTTCTGTTGCGGCAAAGAATCGGCCTGGGCATGCGTGGATGCCATGGCCGAATCCCGTATGGTCCGTACTAGTCGTGACAAGCTGCCAATGGGCCTCCTGACCTGGCTGTGATCGCAGCTTGAGGAAGCGATATCCATCGAACTTCTGTGGCTCGGGATAGACTTCGGGGTCGAAGAGCCTATCCTGGATAATGCTGAGAATAGCTCCCTTCGGGATTATGGTTCCATCGTTGAGGGTGACCTTTTGTTGTGCGACACGATTCATTAAGCGCACTGAGGTGGGCATTAAACGCTGTGTCTCCTTCATGAAGCTGTCGAGAAGCTTCAGCTGGTACAGAGATGTCTTGTCCCAGCCCTTCTCCGACAGAACAGTAACAATCTCCTTCCGGAGGAGGTTTTGATACTCCGGGTGCGCACTCAGGTTGTAAAGACACTTGGTCAATAGGTCCGATGTTGTATGGATTGATGCAAAGGTCAACACGAGCTGTCCGCCGGCGAGATCAATGTTCTTTGAACCTGCAACTTCCTGCATCCATCCGAGTGTATCTCCCACCTTGACTGTCGATGGCTTAGAATTGCTGGCACGCTCCCGCTCTCTGCGTCGTGTAAGCTCTCTCTCGACAACTATTGTCGCCTTGTTGCGCGTCTTGCGTAGCAGCCTGCATTCAGGGAGAAACCAGTGTATGATGGGCTTGAAGATGCCAGGCCACATACGCAGTGCCCTAGCCGCATCCATCAGCACCATGGTCCAGTCAGCTGCAATGGTCAGCCACTCGTCATCCCGACAGAGCACTTCTCCCATGAATGCTCGGGTAGAAAGGCGGGACACGAGTCCAGTGGCATGGGTGTGAATATCAAACGAAACCCAGTTGTCAGAGCTTCCAAACAGGCGTTCGATTGCATACGCAGACTCATCTCGTAGTGCTCCAGACACAGGGACTAGTCATATGAGCTGGTTAGGCATGATCGTGCGTACGAGTTCTCTTAGTGGGCTCCTCAACTGGATATACATACCAAGAAAGCTTGTTAGCTTGGTCCTAACTGTGGTCGGAATAACGTCGGTTTCTGTCACAAGTCTGATAGGATCGAATCCGGGGTAATCGGCAAAGAGCTCCTGTCAATTGTTATTTATCTTGCTCTGCAAGCCGATTAGTAGAGCAACAAATTTACCTTTCGAAAGATCTCACTAAGAGAAAGGCTTTTGATACTTCTCAACTCATTTACATAGCGATTAGGGAAGATGATTCGTGGCCCATTGGCAGTAACAACCTGAAAACATGTGTTCAACTAGCGAAATTGATATCAGTGTCTTAGACTAGTTCACTCTGTCTGTTATAATCACCTTTTTGGCCCCTTCTAGTAGGATCCTTCTCCCATCAGTCAAGTATTTTTCTTTTGCCGAGGACAAGGATATGTTTTTCTTGGAGAAGCCGTAAACCGGAAACCCAGGATAGAATGCCTCTCGTGTCCAGAAGCTCCAGGCATAGAGACTGGCGATGGCCAGAAGAACACCACCTACGTGAGAGATGAACTCGGGAGAACTAAGGTATGATTTGATAACTGTCATGGTGAAAGATTGGAATTTGAATCCGTTGGAAAATGCTTCTCGCAGTAAACGCTGAGGATGACTTGAGGGAAGAAATTTTTCTCTGCGTGTGAGCCACTCTGACTTTATCAATCGACACGTTATTTTGCTAGCTTGGAGGGAAATGTTTGTCTCTCAGCTTCAAGGCCAGCGAATGCTTGAAGACAACTTCTTTCTTGCTTCTCATGCAGATCCTACAGGGCGTGATCGAGACATTAAAGCGCCCGCTCTTCCGTGTCTTACTGAGGGTTCACCTGCAGGGGTGGCGGTATGTCGGGGCCCCGTCGTCTCAGTTCCAAGCTCCTGCGCGGGGCTTCTGACTACATTCATTTTGCCTGCTCACAACCGTATCTGACAGATCAACCCACTTTGCGTCGTAAAGTAAAACATCAGTAAATCAGCCGTCGTTGACCGCTGGAATGTCGGGATCGGTCTTGAAACACGGGATGAATACTCATGACAACCTCGGTGTATCGACGCTGAGAAGTAGCCGAGATGTAAACCATGATGACGCCGAAAGTTGGAGGGATGATAGCGGCTCCCACAGGGCATTCCGCGTCTACCAGCCGTAATGGAATTTGTCTTTGATCGCCGTCTGTGTATACAAAAACTGAGATAAAGAAAGTCTGTGTTGTCCCATGGCGTATTTGTATCAGTCAGTTGTCGTCAAATTTACTAAAATCAGTTTGGAAGTCTTGGTTCAATCAAATCCCCTAAGTATTTGTGTTGATTTCATCCGTATCCCGGGACTCGATTTTATCATGAGCTGCTCCGGTACCAATAATTTCTGTGAGGAAAAGTCTGGTTTCTCACCGGGTGATTTCGCTGAGGCAACAACGGACCCTTCGCGATGGAGACTGTCCAGCGACGGCGGTCGCAACGTTTGGCATTATTTGACAAGGGATGAAGACATCCAAAGATGGCCACAGACGGCGGTGGACAGATACCATTTGGGTTTATCCACTGTAAGCCCTACCCTTGGAAATGTTGTAAATCAGAGCTGACCTCTTGATCCAGGGCTTTCCTGAAGTTGAGCCGGCAAAAACGCCCATGCAGTCAGTCATCAACGCTGTCTCTGTCTATTCAAAGCTTCAGCTCCCTTCAGGTCATTGGGCTTGTGAAGAGGGCGGTCCTCTTTTTTTGCTTCCTGGATTGGTAATTACCTGGTACGTCACCGAAGCGTCCATACCAGAAGCTTTCAAGATTGAAATCAAGAACTATCTGTTCGCGCGGCAAAACCCAGACGATGGCAGCTGGGGCCTCCATATCGAAGCAGAAGGGTCCGTCTTCGGACTGGCCATGAATTATACAGCTCTCAGGCTCCTTGGTGTTCGAGCTGACCATCCACGTCTCTGTAAGGCCAGATCCGAGCTGCACAGGCTGGGTGGCGCCCTCAACGCGCCTCATTGGGCAAAGTTCTGGCTTAGCGTACTAGGAGTTATGCCATGGGACATAGTCAACCCTGTTCCTCCTGAATTGTGGCTCCTTCCGGACTGGGTTCCCTTTGCTCCCTGGAGGTGGTGGATACACATACGACAAGTCTTTTTACCCATGTCCTGGGTTTGGTCAAGACGCTGGCAGCATCCTCTCTGCGATCTCACCAGGGATATACGTCAAGAACTCTTTGTGCAGCCACCGGAGATGATTGATTTCTCTGTCCACCGGAACAGCATTTCCCCTCGCGACAATTACCACAGCAAATCGTGGCTCCTGAATACAGCCAACTGGCTTATTGTCAACATTTGGAATCCTTATCTCCGTCACGATAAGCTCAGGACCGCTGCAGAGGCATGGGTTTACGATCTCATTCAGCACGAGGATGAGAATACCGAATACGTAAATCTCGGACCCGTGAATGCCCCAATGAATACCCTGGTTTGCTACATTCAACAAGGCCCAAAGAGCACCGCCATGGCTCGCCATCTAGACCATCTGACAGATTACCTATGGAAGAAGGATGAAGGCATGCTCATGAACGGAACCAACGGGGCCCAGGTCTGGGATACAGCCTTTTCCATCCAGGCTATCGTGGACACAGGCCTCGCGGACGATCCTAGGTACCAGCCTACGCTCATGAAGGCTCTCGAGTTTCTGAAAGAACACCAGATTCGGGACGACTGTCGAGAGCAGGGAATCTGCTACCGTCACTACAGAAAAGGAGCGTGGCCCTTCAGCACCCGGCAACAGGGCTATACCGTCACCGACTGCACTGCTGAAGGGTTAAAGAGCGTCTTAGCACTTCAGAGCATCCCCGGCTACCCGAAGATAGTCACAGAGGACAGGCTTTGCGATGCCGTAAACATCCTACTATCGATGCAAAACAACACAGGTGGGTGTTCTAGCTACGAACTCCGTCGCGGGAGCGAGCACCTGGAATACCTGAATGCCGCAGAGGTGTTTGGCCAGATCATGGTTGAATACGATTACGTTGAGTGCACAGCGGCATGTATGCTGGCACTCAACAAATTCCGCAAGGCCAACCCATTTTACCGAGCCCTGGAAATTGAAAATTTTATACAACGAGCGATCAAGTTTATCCGATCCACTCAACGGGATGACGGCAGCTGGTATGGTTCTTGGGGAATATGTTTCACCTACGGAACCATGTTTGCTCTTGAGGCGCTGGAGGCCGTTGGCGACACCTGGCATAACAGCGAATCCATTCGATGCGCTTGTGAATTCTTATTGGCCCACCAACGGGAAGATGGAGGCTGGGGCGAGAGCTTCCGGGGCTGTGAGCTTGGTTTCTATGTTGATCATAAGGACACCCAGATTGTGCAGACTGCCTGGTCCTGTATAGGGCTCATGCAGGCAGGGTATCCAGACATGGAGCCTATAGTAAGAGGGATACGGATGATTATGGCACGCCAACAGTCTGACGGACAATGGGCACAAGAAGCGCTTGAGGGAGTTTTTAACAAATCTGGGTGAGTATGCAACGATCGCACTCAATGGTACCTACTGATTCGTCTGGCAGCATGATTTCCTACACCAACTACAAGTATATTTTCCCAATCAAGGCATTGGGTTTGTTTGCGCGGAAGTACGGGGACATAAAAGTTTTGTAGACTTGTGTCGCAGGATTTGGGAGCTTGTTATCTTTACTCGAAGCTATAGGCCGTCACCCCAAAACTACCAACAAGCCCAACCCACCGACGAGAATACTAAAAATCGGGGTCCAATTATGAGTACTTGGATGCTTAAGTTGTTTGAGTCTGTCACCGTCATCTATGCGTGGGGAATCCATGACGGCATCTAACCCGCGTCTCGAACATATGGGTACTGTTCTCATCTAGTACTTGATCTGGTCATTCGGTTTGTCTTGTATTTTGAGTGATTCAGGACTGGTATTGTGTATCATTCTTTTTCTCTAGGCAAGGAATAGCGTAGGCTGATTCTCGTCATCTACATAAGATCTGACAAGCACGGTAAGGTTCAGAAGAAGTCGTTGTTATAGCTGAAAGATATAGATGCATATTCAGACGCCTATGAGAGTTACTAATTCCATTCGCATACTCATCTAGTTGCGTCCGCCTATGAGTTCTGCTTGGTCTATACCATCGAGCAGTTCAGGCAACGGCCCCAAGGGTGCCTTTACTCACTAATATCAGAAGCCAGATTGTGTTCTTAGACTTCCCTCAATCTTGTCCCAGACATTGCGACGTAAGTTCCCTGAAATCCAGTATTCTCCCTCTGAGCCTTTCCCCAAGATAAAAAATGAGTTCGGAAACTTGTAGCCTTCCCAAAACTCAATGCACCTTGGTCGACCAACTTTCATGGTATCCGTAGCCGCAGAAGACTCAGATATAATCGCCGCGGAGAAGTCGGTTCCAAATAAGTCTGCTTTAGTGAAGTTGGAAAACGAGATGACGTGAAAGTTTCCCTTTCCAAACGCAGGATTGAGCTTCCGAGACGACTTCCGGATCAAGGAGGCATAGGCCTCTAGTTGTTCTCTCTTCCCAAGTTCTTTAAGGGATTGGCGAATCCTATTTGCCACCAAACCCAGGGGCTTTCCCAACACATCTTCCATGGGGACAATGGTTGTAACAACTCCCATGGCGTTGGAAAGGTAACTCTTCCCGGCCGGTAACAAGTCTTGGGAAAGAGCGGATCGCAAAGATATGGCGTTGTTGATCACCAAAGTACTCTTCTTATTTCTGACAACCTGTGAGGAGACGACCCGACTCCACCACTCGCACAAGACGTCACCGTCGCTGACAAAGGGGTTGATGTTGCTGGGGTCACGAGCGATCAGCTCACCCAGTATCCTGTTTCTCATGCGAGCGATAAAAGCTGAAGGCACGCAGACGCTTCTGGTGGCTGTGCCTAACAGGAGGCCGGAAGCATTTCTCAAGCCGAACTGCGTTATCAATCCGAAAGTAGAGGCTTGGTAGTTTTGAAGTTTGTAGACTTCTTGAGGCCCGGATCCGAATTGTTCAAGTGGGTCGAAGTTGTGTCCCCAAAGGTTCGGCAGATCTTCTGGTCGATTGTCAAGCATAGCCTGCCACCCTTTCAGGAGAACTCCTGTCCCCACCATGTCGCACAGAGTGTGTGGGAAAGATAACGAAACAAGCGTGGCGTCGTCGAACAAATTGACGAAGAGACCCAATTGCGGTATATCTGCGTCTAAGTAGTCTTTCAACAGACGAGGAGTGTCTGGGTGAAAAGCTAGGCCTCGGAAACTGATTGTGTCGGCCAAAACACTCGGGCCATCGGTCGATACAGGGAGCTTCGAAGCGTTTGGGTGCTCAGAAACACTGCACGAATGCTGGACAAGCCGAAACATAATGGCAGGGCAATGTTCGCCAAAGGTAGATGGTGTATGATACTCCAGCCCCCCCGATAGCTAGATACGTGCATTAGCGACAGCGGCAAAGCTGGTACTACGGTTTCTAAAGTTTGCCTACACTGCGACGCAACCTCGCACCCAACTTTTGCCAGCCATCTTGCTGAACTAGACTTTCAAGGCTTTCGCGAAGCTTTCGGGGGTCTAATAGATCGTCGTATACGAAGAGTAATGTCATAGCAAACTTATGGAATAGAGGAATGTCATCGTAATAGTGCAGGGGGGTTATTTTGGCCATTGGTGCAGAGTACGTGTTTGCCTTGCAGGGTAGAAACCATGTAGTCTTGTGTAAAAAGAGGGCGGGTTAAAAGCCAGCCATGCTTTAGTATTTTCGGATTGGAGAAAGCAACGTATACTGATAACCTGATCTGTTATAACTCATTTGGCGAAATATCGGTGGCAAAAAGTCTCAATGATGAAAATTACCTGTCTCGTTGTAGGACTTGGTAAAAGAAACCTGAACCTAAAACCGGACGCAGGGTCATTGTCGGTGAGGAAGCATTCAAGTGACATCTCGGCGTGTCTCATGCCACGCCAACTGTCTTTAATAGTCTTCTGAACATATACCCAATGATACGTGTCGGTGAAAGATCCTTTCGTTATGAGATCGACTTGTTTCATACTACACCCATCGATTGGTGTAGTCTTTGGACAGCTATCTTATGCTTCATGTCGGTGAGAGCTTCTCTTGAAATGATATCATCCTGCCTTGTATTCAGCAGTGAATCATGTATGAGCATCTCAGGGAGATTCATGAATAAATACCTCAGTTTATGTCCTGATTGACATTCAGGATTTTATCTCCGTTGTTCGATTGAAAAGTCTTGACTTCCGAAAGTAGGAGATCTGACAAAATTTTCGTCATCTACATTAGACAACCCACCTTTACTGCATCTCATCTCTACCATTCGTTGGAATGCTCCAGCGCAACTTCTCGATCTTGCTTGTGGTTATAGCCAAAGCCTGGAAAGTCTCGTCTACCAATATATTTCACAACCTCTCCTCTATGACCGGTCCTCAACCGCAATGGATCATTCAATCTCTCCGAAGGCAGTGCGATGCAGACGATGTCGAATGCATATTTGAATTTTCCATCAATACACAAGTTGATGCCCCTCTCGATTGCACGTATGCCACCACTGCTGGCCATGGCCTCCCAGCATCACAGTCTTCAGGGGATCATCAAACTTGTGGCCAATTCACGATTGCATCTGGGTGGAGTGATATGGAACCTATGGGAAGATTCCGAGTATTGGCGATCATCGATCCTGTCGATCGAATGTTGATTTGGGCTACGTATATGGATGAACAGATTCAACTTGGTGCATTTGTTAAACCTGACCAAGCATATGCGCCTGTCAGGATTGGTGGATGGGACGTATGCCCTGTATAGTGCGGAATAGTTTTAATGTCGTCCAAACCAGAGTGTGGACAATGAATTGCTGTGTTATACACGTGGATGACAAGGCATGTGAAGGGGTAAACAGTACTTACCCTTTTCTCATGGTCGCTTAATTCGCGCCTCTTGCCGACAGTCTGATCGGCCGAACTTGGAAGCATAGACTTGGCTATTCACTGTTCGCAAAGAATAGACGAGGTACAATATGTCGATAATTGACTGATTTCTCAATCGCGCGGTAGTCGGCAGCGTGACTGTCTCCCGATTGTATCTTGTCATCGAGTGGATCTCCGGGACCTAATTCGACCGACCGAAATACCTGTAGACGGCTTAAGATTAATAAAGTGATGATGAGCCTGGCTGCTGTGATTTTGTTTTGCTCATGTGCGTTTATTAGTTCATTGGGGGCTTGATCCGGATCCTCCGCTGGTCACAGGAGCCGACGACATGCTGAGCGTAGTCGTCATCTTCCTCGTGCCCTGTCCGTCCATGCAATTGGCTTCTTATTGACACCAGGCCAGCCAACAAATGGAGACTTTGCGTAACGTTGATGTCGTTCAGCCTGAATTGCAGCATTGGATGCGGCCGCTATCAGCTGGAAGCAGCTAGATGAGGGGTCAAATCAGAGTCTGAGGATCTGACTGGGTAACCAAAAATGGTCACATACGCAGGGTTCTGAAAATTGACCGCCGACGCAGTCTTGTTCGTCTCCTCCTACTGGCATGCTCGGGCCGACCAGAGAGGCTCGGCTGCGGTATAGTTTCAGCTTAGCATTTCTATCTTTGAGGACATGTTCATGATCCAAAGATGCGCCCAGCATGAGTCTTTAGCAATTTCTCCCCGCAAGCCAAGGCCCAGGGGTTCCTCTTTTGTAACTGATCTGATCAGATGCATCCACCCAACATGACATTGCAAGACCTGAACCTGATAACGACAGCGCTGAACGGCCCATCAGAGATGCCAACAGAGATCAACGCTACGACTGATCGTGGATAGATAGGGTGTTGGCCGGTGAGCGATGTATCCCTACGGCTGGGCCAGATAACCTCCTCGAGCCTTGCCACCGAGCAGGGAGGGCAAGCGCCGGGGTTCACGGGGACTTGCCACTGCTGTTTGTATGACGGCACGGGCCGAGCTGTCAAAAGCGGGGTAACTGGACTCTTCCTGCCTCGATGGACACTTACGCCACTATCACAGCATCACCTGGTCCACTTGACTCTGAGCAACCTCGTCTTCCTTAATCTCAACTACTTGGAACTGAAGGAACGTTCCTAGCCGCCTCCAGCCAACAGCCATAGAGCACCACTCCCAGCAGTCATATAGCACCACATCCAGAACGGCCAGACCAAGGACAACAGGACGCAGCATGATGGCCTTTGATCCCATCCCACCGCCGCGCAAGTTCAGCGGCGGCTGGACTATCGAGGACGCTCTCGCCAAGACGGGATTCCACGCCACGACCTCGCCCGTCTCGTTCTTTTCCCTCGCAGGCCGCCTCAAGAAGCTGCAACGCCAGGGCTGGAAACGCTTCGGCATCGAGTCAGTACCTGACTTCTCCCCCCCTTGCCCTGCCTGAGCGCCCCGTTTGAGCTGACATTGTCTCCTTTACTCTCGTGAAACGCAGCCCCGAGTCAGTCGCTGATCATTCACACCGCATGACTTTCATGGCGCTCCTGGCGCCGCAGAGCCTCGACCAGGCCAAGGTCGTCAAGATGTGCCTCGTGCACGACCTCGCCGAGACGGTCGTGGGCGACATAACGCCGGCCGACGGCGTCTCGCGCGAGGAGAAGACGCACCGCGAAGAGGCGGCCATGCACTGGATGACGACGCACTGGGGCGACTTTGGCCGCGAGGTCCACCACCTCTGGATCGAGTTTGAGGCCGGCCTGACGCCCGAGGGCGAGTTTGCCCAGGACCTCGACAAGCTCGAGATGATGCTGCAGGCCCTCGAGTACGAGCGCGACGCCGACCTCGCCGTTGACCTCGGCGAGTTCTTTGCCGTCGCCGGGCGCATACGGACGCCGCGGGCGCAGGCGTGGACGGCTGAGGTCCTGCGCGACAGAGAGCTGCTGTGGGCTGGAAAAGAGCACGTTCGCGGCGATCTGGGCGTCGAAGGTGGTCTGCTGCAGAAAAAGCAGGAAGAGCAGGATCTGTACTACAACCAGTGAGGGAGGCGACAACTTTTGGTCGCTTGTCTCTCTCTCTTTCTCTCTCTCTGCCTTACCCTCCCCCTTTTTTTCACCCCCTTTTCTTGATCTCTCTCTTCTTTTATCATTCTCGTGATAAGCAGGTAAAAAGGTACGTTCGGCGGTCATAATCTCGCCAGGAAGAGGCGTCCCAGCGTACATCAGGGACACCAGTCATTCGGACTACGGTAGTCAAAAGTCAGCATCTCCCGTTTACTATACACTATTGATGAAACACGTGGCGCACGCCCAGTATTATTCACGAATTGTTCAGTCACCATCCGAAGGCGTGGCGATCGAAGTGACACTTGTCGGATAAAGTCTAAAGCCCCTGAGGGGTCAAGTCAGTGCAAGAAACGGAGACGCCTCGACATGGCGGCCTTTGTGCGTCTTCAACCCCGGTCAGGTAAGACAGACGCGCACTCGTGCAAGGCACAGCGTTCGACTAGAGGAGACGCCAAAAAGGCCAACGACGATCAACGTGACAGCACCGTCGGCGACGTGTCGATCCAGTGCGTAGCCGGAGGGTTAATTGAGGTCCAGGCTCGGCACGAGCGCTGGGACCCAACCAAAAGACTTGAAGCGACCCGGCATTCCGGTACGGTGAAGCGCCACGGCGACGTGAGTATGTCGTGTGATTGGGAGGGATCGCATGTCTCGTGAGACGGCGTCTATCAGGCTGTGGAGCATATGGAGGAGTTGAAGGCGGCGTGTAGCTCGGGTGTATGGTACGGAGAAAACGCGGTACGACCTGTGGCGATTCCTTCTCATCTCTGAGTCTACAACGTGGTGAACAGCAAAAGTGCCAAAGGCCTTGCTTGCGTGATCGTGTTCGGTCGTCGGCAAGGGGTCCCCCGAAAGCACGAGGGCGGACGGAAGAGCAAAAGCAAGTGGGCCGCCGGGCCGCGGGGAGGATGATTCTGAGGTCTCGGAGGCCTTTTAGCGTCGAAAGCTGACGAAGAGTCGCCGGCACACGGTCGCCCCGTGATGCTGACCGAAGATGAAGGCGTCTGGCGATCAGGACACGAGCATGGTCAAGTTTGGGGTCAGTATGGCTATTTCCACGGAGCAGACCTAGAGGAGTCTGATGAATTTACATGCTCGATTCACTCTCCATTCATCATGCCTTGGTATTGAAGCGATGGGGAAAAAATGGTCAACATGTCGGGAAATGACGGAAGAACTGTGGGCAGAGTCGCTCGGTGGTGTCCCGGTATCGCTCCGAGATAGCTGAGAAGTACCCCCGCGGCTCAAATAGAGTGCTGGGATACTTGTCGCTTATCGGGCAGACGGT